GGGTGGTATGGGTGGTATGGGTGGGGTGCTAGTAGCTAAGGGTCGGATGCAATCTTGGGGGTCTTGATGGGTCTTGAGTACTGCTCCTCAGCCATGGCGCACTTTCATAGTTGTCCATGATACTGAGCCTCAAGCCTATCACCAAGCAATCTCAATGCCAGCATTCCAGCAAAGCAGCCCAAGCTACTTCACACCGTGGTCCGCGTGACTTCTGCGCTTCTTTGCGAGCCCAGCCGCTCACCTTTCAATGTGAAACGCCCAAGCCCTTAAAGCCAGGGCGGAGGAGTGAAGAATTTGAGGAGGTGTCCAAACGTGCCAGAGGCGCAGGTTGTTGCAACAAGTGAACCCTTTCCCAATCTTATATGTGACATGTGTCATCTTCCCGGGCGTTGATAAATTAGCACCAGCTGCACTCTCCGTAGTCTCTTCACCAGAAAGAGGCCAGGTTTGCCCTAAGCTGCCGCTGAATCCGGCAGGTGTTCAGCTAACGGAGGCCTTGTCCTAGAAACTACTCGGTCAACTACTTGCCCTCCTTCCTTCAGAAAAAGAAGGGCTTCCTTCACTAACTCAATATCTCTTCATCTCGAGCTTCATCCACACGGGGCGGCCGCAGCAACCTCAGGGCAGCAGGTCACGCAGCCAAACCTCATTCTTTCTAGTGGTGCGGGGCCCGGGTACAGGCTTCTGACCATCCACCAACAACACCTAGGACCGTAGAATGCCATAACTGCCATAACACATGGAAGTCCAGCCATCAGTGCATCAACTTGTGTGCTTAAGTGAGAGGAAATCCCGTGCTTCCATGCCAGTCTACACAAATATATATATATATATATGTAAGATATATATATATAATATATATATATATGTGTGTGTGTGTATGTGCATATATATATATTATATGTACGTGTATTTATATGTATATCTATATATGTGTGTGTGTGTCTTAATTATGTTCTGGAAGGAGGGGCACGCTGCTATCCTCCGCCCTCTCCTCAGGTTGCGTATCATTTCTTTCGGCCCATCTTCTTTGCCCTCCATGAGCCCTAGGGCCTTCTAGGGCCTTCTAGGGCCCCCCAACAGCAAGGACTTGATGAGGCTTACGCGTTGGCCAGCACACGCCTGTGCGTCCGCAGCCCTGGTGGAGTCTTTGGCCCGTTGTTGCGTCCGCAAGAAACCGGACAGCCAGAGGCGATGCTTCGCTTCCTGCTTTGGCTGCTTTGATGCGACCAAAAGACTTGTACCTCATGATACTTCACCTCAAGCTTTTCGCTTTCGCAGCTTGCCAGCCGGTATGGTTCGCTTGAGCTTTGCAGGGGTCCGTTTCGTGTCAATCTTCTGGTTGGTCACCGTGCCCCATGTCACTGGTTGGACTCCCTCCACCCGCCGGACGGAACGGCTACCGTGTTCCAGGAACACGGTGTTGTCTTTATGCCACCGCCCCGGGAAGGAAGGTCTTCTGGCTTGGGGTTCTCCTCCACGCAGTGCCCAATAGACCCAACCATCGGGCCCGACAGGCAGCCTTGTGGCTTTTCCAACATGCCTCCGGTTGGAGTCAAAAAAGGGCAGCGTGGCAGACTGGATATCACTACAAACAACCAAGAGAGGTTGAGAGACCGTAGTGGTACATATGGGATAGGCTATAAGGCTGTTGAACCTCTCTGGGAACTGCCAAATCACTAAGTAATGATGGTGATGAAAGTGGCCACACTTGCCGTGTCGACGGCGTGTCGACTATGTCTCCTCACAAAACTCAACCTTGGTCGGGTGGCAGTGCCATCTCGACTCCTTGACTTTGGAGAAAGTTCTGGTGGCTGGCTGCGTGCATGACTGGCTGGTGCTTAGTACGGAATGAGGGAATGGATCCAATAGAATCTCTATTGGGGGCTCATCCCCTAATTCCCTGCCAAGCACCAGTCAGATGAATGACCAGAATCTCGTGTTTTGAACTTTGAAGGATGCCGTGCAGGCCTTCATGCGCAGAAGAGCGTGACTGGAACGTGACTGGAGTGCAATCGATCGTGCCCAAATTGCTAGACAACAGTCGACTCCATCGCCTCCCCCCCAAGAAAAGTGAGAACATGCCTTCAGTGGACCCACCATCGCTGCCTTCAGCGCCACGTCCGCCAAGTCGGAGCACTGGGGACAGGTCACACTCCTCCCTCACGCGTGTCTCGCGCGCGCGTGAGACTGAAGCATCCAAAGGTGGTTGATGGACACCCAGAAAATGGCGGACCCTCATCAATCTCGCGAGCCAGTCGTAGGGTCCCATGTGGATGAGAAGCGTGTGGGGTTCTGAGGAGCAAGAGGTTTGGATCCACTGAATGTTTGGATCTGCGTTCGCTATTGACTTATACACTAGCTCATCATGTCCTGAAATCACTAGTGCAACCACTCGAACATCAAAGCCTCCGCCAGCTCACCGGCTCGAGACGCAAACCAAACAGAACTACAGGGGTCCCCTCAAGACATCCGTGGCACAAATCCTCCGGATCCGTGGCTTAGATGCAGTTTTCCACATCACATCAATTACCTTGCCTGCCTCTCTCTCTCTCTCTCTCTATCTATCTATCTATCTAATACATTATACTATACAATGTATATTAATGTTGTTTGGCTGAGCCTTGGCTTCCGAGGGATATATACATATATATACCTATACAGTATATACCCCAGTCTGCGTGCCGACCACGATGTCGACACCGCTCTCTCGCCAAGGCACCGAGGTGTGCCGTTCGACCACATCCACTGCACTCCACGTCCTTCCCAGCCCGTTCTTTTGTTCCATGTCCTTCTTAACAGCTTTTCATAGGGTCTTCGAGGTGACCACTGGGTGACTTTGAAAAATTGAAGCCCCAAGTCAGCCCGGCGAGTCACAGCTAGTCCAGATGGATCATCCTTCGACTGCCCCTCTCTCTCTCTCTCTCTCTGTCTCCGAGGGTGCTCCCCTGCGTGTCCTTTACTCTCTGCAGTCTTGAAATCAAGAGAAGCCGCTGTTGGAGACCCTGAGTTGGATCCACTTGGTCCCAGGTGTCACGGGACCCGCTCCTGCGCAGCACGCTCGGAAGCCTGGTCCGCGAGGGCGACACGTGCGTGACTCAGGGGAGCACAGGGTGGTTACCCAGTCCTGGACGTTTCCCAAAAAACCAGGCCACTTCCCATATCAATGGTCAATGGCCCTATAAAAGGAAACGACCATTTGGTTTCAGATTGTTTCTGGCTGTTTGGGCGCCCTGGAGCCAAGCCCTTTGAGCAATCAAGCCGGTTTGCGCGCAACGGTTCTCCGAAAATTTGGCATTGACTCCTTGACCCATCAGAATGCTGCCCCATGCTCACACACTCCCAGAAGCTTCCCTTTCGAAAAAGGATTTGGCACCAAAAACCTTACTTCTATGATCTTCGTTGTAGATCCTGACCACCTCGTCACCCCTTCGCCCTCGCATTCCCTCCGACGCCCACCCCAGACGCCGCTCTTCGCCTTCGCCCTCGGTCCGCGCCTCGCGGTGCACCTCAAAGAGGCGAGGCCTTTGGAAGAGACGCTCCAAGGGCGGCGCATAACGGCTCAGCGACCTGCCCCCACCGGTGGCCGGTGGCCCCGGTGCGGGTTCGGTGCACGGTGCAATGCCGGCACGGTGCCGGGTGGGTGTGTTTTGGGAGGTCCAACTACAGCGGGTGGCGCAGGCAGTGTGGGGGTGGGCGGATTTGGGGCGAAAAGTGGGCAGGTGGGGTGTGTCCGAAACTCCATGAACAGCAGCTCATCGCCGAAAATGTACCGGTCCATACTAGGGACATAAAAACACAAAAAGTGTCCATCAGATATGTCCACTTCCTCATCACAAGGTCTATATAATCTGTGCCTCTTCTCAGAGATGCCCAGGAGGCTGGCCCAGGCCTCAAGGTCTTCAGCATGACACGAAGTCCGCCTTTTCTTTTTTTGCAGAGCTTATTTGGGTCGCGACGTTTTCTCGGGGATTGCTGCGTTCTTGAGGGTCTCTCGCAACCAGGAGCCTTTGGGAGGCCGTGTTCTTGGCTTGAATATGCTTGAATCATCTACCGTTTCATGTTGCAACAAAGCCAGTGAAGGCCCAGAGCCCTCTCCCCTCAAGCTGGTGGAAACACAAGCACTTGTGAATGGGCTGGGAGCTTCGGTACCTTTGAGATCAGGGATCTGGCTTCCACACAACTGAAAATCCCATGACAAGCCACTGAACAAACACCCCGCTCTTGGCCCCTAGCAAGAGTTACAATTATGGCAAGGGAGAAGCCTGAAACTCCAGGAACATGATGGGTGACTTGTTCCTTCTGCGATTCAGCCCTTTTTCTGATCAGCTAGGTTGTTGTGGCGATTGTGCCGATGAGATGGTAAAGACAGCGCCAACAGTCAGCACCAGTCCAACAGTTGACTCCATGGAAGGCGGGCAAGTTCAGCAAGTCAGCAAGTTCCACACACATACAGTGGATTGAGAGTAGATGGCACTGGCAGCCACCCCAAGATGTCGTGTAAAAGAAGGGGTCCATATAAGCCACCTCTTGGGATCATTTGCGCCATCTACTCCTGAAACCATCTGAAACCCCGGTTTCGGCTCGGGACAACCGTCAAACAAATCCAAATATATATATATATATGCATCCGTAAGCCCCCCACCCAGCCAATCAATGTCGAAAGTGAGAATAGAACAGATCACGAGCACAGGAAAGCACAAAAAGTATGTATTGTTTTAAGATATGTAGCTGCAGCATACTCTACTGTATAGTATTGGAGACTTGGTTACTTGTTTGCGGTATCTATTTGAGTTTGTGTTTGAAGATTGGCAAGAAAAGCACTTCTTGATTCTGGCTCCCCAACTAACTCCTCCTCCACTCGCGCGGTCTCCTCGCAGCACAGTCGACGGCAAATCCCTGCGTACAAATTGCGCATGCCCCCCAAACGCCCCTCAAATCGAAGCTGTTCATCGTGAATCGTGCCTCACCAAACCGAAGTGCCACCCACATATGCCAATTCACTCACATGCCCCGTCTCGAGGCTTTTCGCCGGACCATCTCGACCTGACCTGCTTGAGCTTCGTCTCAAATTGCCATCGCAAGTAGAGGATCAGCCAGACGGCCTGAGACAGACAGACAGACGGACTCATCGCATCCGACCGGCGACGGGGGCAGAGAAGTCAACCATCGCCGGTCTCCCCAAACCACCAATGCCATGGTTCTGCCCAAAACCTGAAGATGCCGGAAGCAGTCAATGGCCTGAAGCGGTCTTGACCCTCCACGACCCACCCATCCAGCCCACCCATCCGTGCCCCAACCCATCACGCTCCCAGCCAGCCTTGGTGATACTGGGCTGCTGAGCTTGTGTGGGCGTGCCCCGGATCCCCACGACCTCATAGCTTATGAGGAGCAGGCACTCGATGAAGGAGGCCAAGCTGAACCTCACCCCGTGCCGGCGCGCCGTGCCGATTGGGTACCGGTCGAGATCTGGACCGTCACCAGACCCGAGCCTGGGCCCCTCCCCAACCCCCCAACCCCTACAGGTCCAGTCTGACCTGGTGCCAAGTTGACCGCATCCTGAAAACCTCATCTCGAGTGGTGTTTTTGTATGACCAGCTCCAGTCAAACGATGTCTTGGACCAGCTCAGGGAGTGAGCCCTCAACTAAAGACGTGGCAGTGAGAGGTACACGGTGGCTGCAGCATGCGAGATTTGGGGGTCCTCTCTGCGTGGCCGCTAAGTGGTCTTGAGGATGGCATATCAAGGCTAGGTGCGATCACGGTCGACATGATCCGGATCGGATTCCACCTCAAAGCCTCCAAACGGTCAGGACAGGCGAGGCCGAGACGGTGTGCTTTCCTCGATCCACTTGCTACCATGGTCACCCACATACGACAAACATCATGACTATCACTCATATTCCTGGTGAGGCCGTCTTCACTACCTCCTTGGGCACCGTGCCCCTGCTTTGAGGCCGCTTGAGCCTGCAGGAGGATAAAACGGGACACCAGCAACTCTACAAGCACTTGCGTAGGAGCAAAACTTCATCCCGCAGTACTGGGGCGCAGGCACGCAATCAGCCAACCAACTGGTCATCTTGCCAAACTATATAGTTGTATCAGGAGAAGGTGGGAGAAAGTGAATCGGCATGCCAGGACGTTTCGAAGGACCTGAGAAAACACATCAGAAAACCGAGCTCATCTAGCCGACCAATCGTTTGGACACATCGATAGACACTCAACGCCCTACATCCCACCGCGGGTTCCCGGCGGCTTCGGCTCCGTGTGGAACTTGAACCATCGAGTGTTCAAACCTCATGAGTTGCCCCACTGGTATGTCACCCTGGTGACGATCACACTCATGAACCACCACTCATCCACCCAACTAGATCAAATGGTCCACTGGTGAATTGCCCCCTCCCCGGAGCCCGCCGCACCCGGGCGGTGGACACTGACCAGCTCTTCGCCACGGCCGTGACCGCAGCTTGTAGTTGCCGACGCTGCTTGCCCTCCCGGTGCTGCCTCAGGCGACTGACTCGTGCGACGGTGCAAGTAGGGTGGCTGAGGGTGGCTGGATCCGGAATCTCTCGAACTTCAGCCACCCTCAGAAAGCCCTCCTCCTTCCCGACACGACGCCGCACCAGTCAAGCAACGGCCATCCCCCGCCAGCCACGGTAAGGTTTCCGACCGCTCTTGCGACCGGGTCAGAAGGGTGAGCCAGGCTCATCGTTTGGCGGCGGTTTGGCGTCGGCTTGGTGTCGGAGACCGATGGCCGCACCAAGGCCGCCAGATCGTGCGACCAAACACTCTGACCGAACACCAAACCACATGGATTGGTGTCGATGCACCGCCCTGTTCGTATAACAGGAACAACGGTCTTCCAAAACGGGGCGTCCCATCCACATCACCAGGTGCCTCGTCGTTCTGCCTGGTCCGACGTCCGGGACTTTGAGGCCCCGCGCGTCCTCAAAGCCTGACATCCCATGAGCCGTGAACGACGCTGTGTCGGTCCATGGTGCACACGGATCCATCAGAAACGGGTGCGACAGGAGCGAACCCTGTCGAAAAACACGGCGTGAATGCATGTTCAAAGCGTATCAATGCATGAGTATTGGAGCCTCTTTCGATCTAAATCCTAAGTCGGCTAGACTGTCCTGGGAAGGAGGCTCATTACTATACAAGATTTTATGAGACAAAGGAGGACTTCGGAGCACATGGGGAGGACTTGGTGCAGGAATGACCCCCTACAAGTCCAGTCTGACTTGTAGAAAACCTGGTCTTTGACCTCCTTGATTGGATAGTGTGTCTATTTTTGTCATGGCCAGATTACACAATCTTATAACTTAAATTGACCTGTCGATACCAGCCGTTCAAGGGTTTTCCAACCTTTCAAGGCCTTCAGGACCTGCCCCACGATGCACAAGAATTCGTCTTCCTCGATGACGCCATCCTGCGATCGAATCAAGGTCTCTCGAATCGTGAGAGACATGGGGTCCAATCATGTGATTCGTGGATGAATGTGCACCACATCATCTGCAACCTCAAACAACCTCACCCTTAAAAAGAGCTTCACAGCCTCTAGTGACAAACCTTAACGTCATGATTTGATGCATTTTGTTCACTGGTCCTCCATCGAATCCCGACCCCATCACATCCCGGAGGCCGGTCCCCATTCAAATCCAAGATCTCAAAGGGCTCGGCCACTTCCAAGCCGGCAGTGCGACCACAGTGCAAACGCATCAGCACTTTGGCCTGAAAAAAAAAGAAAACACGCAAGACACGCGTCTTGCGCGGTGCGTGTTTTTTTTTTCCGCGTGCGAACGTAGGTCCGCGCGAAACAGACGCCGTCAAAAGCAGTTAAGGCTTAAGAGTCTTAAGAGACATATCAGGATGCACCGATATGTTTGCAGAGAGAAATCGGCCTGGGACCTTTTCTGTCCTTCGTTTCCTTCATCCTTCTGTCCATCTGCCCTCTCTCTATCCATATATCTTCATGTCCCGGCCAGCTGGCAGTTTCGACATGTTTCGACTCCTGGGCTAGGTCCTGAAGCAGCATGCCTGTGACACAAAAATGGTGTGTCGAGCAAACAGCCTCCACCCATAATTGAACAGCTTGAGAAAAGCAGGACTTGGCCACGAAAAGGGGAAGCAAGTAGAAACAAAGAAACAAACAAACTTTGATACTCCCAAACTCCCCCCATCATCCATCCACCCCACCCCCAGCTGATACTCCCAAGACCGGCGATGCCCGGCACCTTATCCTCCAGCTTGTCCTTGGTGATGGTGGCACCTTGACTTCCTCCATTGCTCAATTCTTGGAAAAGCCTCCGGGGCGTCCAGGAATTCTTCTCCATGACCTGGGGATGTCACTCGTTGGCAGAGGTCCCAGGGAGCCCAGCGATGTGAGACGAAGATGCATCGAAAAAGGAAAGACGTCTTCTCAGAGTCAGTGAGGCTGCCCAATGACCCACCCGATTGTGAAGATGTGGAGCCTTGACAAGATCCTTGAAGAAGACGCTGGCATTCCTTTCCACTTCTGACATGTCCTCAAAACAAGAGAAACAGCCTTTGAGCATCTCTGAGTCCAATAATGGAGGGCGGATCTTGGAAGCACACAGAAAGACACAGTTGCCCAGCCACGGAACCAAACCTCCGAAATGTATGCCTGTGGGATCACAACCAGGATACCTTGTCTTTTTTCACCAGGGCTCCATGGTTTTGACCCATCCCTATATTGCTGGACACCGACCTCAGCCATCGAGGGAATTTCCCTGATAGTGGATTGAGAGGTTCGATGGCACAGACGACCCCCAGGAGGTTGGTGGTGAACGTTATTTGGACCCCCATGCCGTTCAGGACATGGCGTCCGTGCCATCGAGCCTCTGACACCGTAAGTGCTTCTGACCCATCTCCTGATCGGCTTTGAGGAAGAAGTTCGCCGCCTCGTCGTCGCCGGGAGGAGGACCACGGGCTCCGGAGCAGTCGAGGTGGTGCCAGTGGGGTGAGATGAACGAACGCAGATGGGGGGCGGATGGGGGGCACGTGGCAAGTTCAAAGTACTTTTAGCAACGTTGGAGTGATTTGGCACCGCTGCTTGTTTTTGAGCCGGAAGCTTGAGTCACTTCAATAGAACCTGAGGAAAGCACAAGTTCCAGCTTGTGCTTCTGCTTGGCAATGATTGCAAGCACCTTGGACTTAACTGGATCGCATGCAGGATCGCATTCAGGCTGGACAAGTGAATAAGGATGATGAGCTTCTGGTAATTCCAGTGTTTCTGGAGGTTCTGGTGACGTGTTCCCCCCGGATGTCACTTCGCCACATGTTCGCCACATGTTCGCTTCATCAGCACATGGACAACGAAAGCCGCTTGCGTCGGTCAAACATCAGGTGCCGTGACCTGTTGCAGCTCGTAGGACGTGATGTGCCCAGTGTCTTGACTCACCAGCAAGGTGGCCAGCCTGGAGCGCTCTTCCAGCAGCGAAAATGCACAGAAGAGATCTTCGAGATGCTTGAGGCTTTGACTTGGGACCCTCCCACCGTTGAGTGTAAAGAGCGTGACAATCGACCAATAAATATCAATACAATAAGAAGGAATTCGGGATGGAGGTTGAGTCCAGATCGAGAAACAACCGCCCAAAAAAATCGAATCTGATGCATTATATTAATTATACACGTTTCAGCATGCACGTGCTGAATGCGTTGACATATACGCAAATAATCAAAAATACACCTCTATAGGGTGGGTGAGTTTAACAAGGCAATGTGCGCTGATATGCCGATACGCCGATATGCTTCAAACTGGTCCAGTACCTCTCGGTAAGCTTGCCGTAGTGCCCCAACGACTCAACAAAACAATGGAAGGTCTTGTAAGGATTGTTTTAATGTAGACGCTTGATTGATATCACCCCCCAATCGAATTGGAAAATAATCGTCATATGGCGGGTCTGTTGGTCAAGAGTCTACATTAATACACTGGGCATGTGAGAAAAGTACGTGAACACGACGTATTGGCGCCGTATAGAAGCAACATTTCATCGGCATGAATCACATGAGACTATATAGACCAACAGTTGTTCTAGTAGAATACGACATTGAAACGAGCAAAATGGCTCATGCGCCAAAAATAATCAAAATGGATCAGTGTACTGCTTCATCTCGAAGGTGTTTTTCTCGGTGACTGATGGTGTTTTCTCGAGTGATCGGAGTTGCGAGTTGATTATCAAACACTGGGTCGCACTGCTAAGTCTGGAACCCCAAACATTCGCGTGGCAGTTTGTCGCAAATAGCATAGTTGCATATAGTTCTACATGATGTCCGGGTAGTAGTACATAGACATAGTTGTGCATAAATAATGCACTACATACTACATCATGCCCAACTCTCCTTGACGCAGTTGAGGCCTCTGGAGCTCCTCCTGGCATGGAAGGTTGTCCAAGCGCATCAGCTGGACGCCTGCGGAACAATAGTCTCAGGGTGTCCCAAAGGCATTTGCGGGAGCTCAGTCATTGGCACACCAGCACGTGCTTATATAAGCCCTGCATGGCGCTGCCAACACCCCACCTGCCATGAGCTCCTCAGCGCAAATGCCACCATTGCAGTTCCAGTCCTGCCGCGCTGCGCATTGGGACATGGCAAAGGGCAAAGTGCCGAAGTGGCCCAAATGACCCGTACGGAACGGTCGACCAAAAGCACGAGTTTCCCCATTGGAGCCGATTTGGCCAAGGTGTGGAGGCCCAACAGGGGCGATGGGCAGCCGTTGGCCTCTTGTTCAATCGCATGGTGGGCGATGTGTCACCAGGCACGGGCTCATGGCTCATCCCGCCCAGTCCAGCAGGGTGAAGAGGTCGGTGGGTGTCCAGGCCCTGTCCTGGCACGAGTCGCCGCACGGCTTTTGGACCGGCCATGAATCGTGGGTCCAGTGGCGAAGGCGCCCGTGGTTGGCACCGGTAGGGTCGATCAAGGTCAAGTCCCAGGGCCTTCCCAGTGACCTCTTCAGGATTGGCCAGTGACCTTTTCAAGACCTAACTGGCCTCATTCTGGCATCTCAACAGGTCACTGGGAAGGTCCACGGTCCTGCAACGGGGGTCACACAGGCGATGGTACTTGACATTGTCACCGCTCACCGCTCACCGCGAGTGAAGTCGGCACATCCGTGAGTCGTCCGCGGCCGTGTCGCAGTCCGCTCCAACCTTTTCGTGTCGCGTCCGAGCCGCCCGTCGGCGGCAGAACCCCGTCGCGAACGGCGCAACCCGGGCTTCGTGCCGTGCGCGAGCTGAAACCTGAAACGACTGGTCTTAAAGACCTGAAAACGGTCACAGCTCTGCATGATCAGCTGCCCCATGATGCCAAAACTAAAAAATGACTCCCCACCATTCAGAAGAGGGCAGAAATCCTTTGCATGTGTCTTTTTCCCGCAGGTATTGGCAGCACTGGGGGCCTCATATCGACCCTGCGCCATTTCTCACTGCTCGGATTCACTGTCTCGGCCCTTCGCCTTCGCCTCACGCCAGTGCTCCTTCTCCTCCGACCACACGGGCCGCGCTCGCGCTCGACGCTTCCGCTGCTCGGTGGGCGCGAAGCCCTCATCAGGTGAGCCCAGCAAAGCCCAGGAAGGGGTCGGCCTGGCTGGAGGAGGGAACATGGTCGGCCTGGCCTCCCGAGCGCACCTGTTTTGATGACTTGGTACATGAAATGTGTGCCTCTAAAGTTGCATGTAGATACACATGCACATGCACATGGACATACACATACACGCAAGATCACACAAGCAATTTCAAAAAAAACAAGCAAACATGATATGATGGTTTTAGGGCCTCAAAGCTACATAAGACAAGTGTGGTAGCTTTTCACCCAAAGTCCCAGTTCCTGGTGTAGTCCAAAGCCGTCAGCTGCTCCTGCCGAGCCATGGCGTCCGCAAAGTGCTCGAAGTCGATCCAGGTTCGCCACTCGCCCTCGCTGCCTCCCTCCTGGTGATTCAGTCCCAAGGGTCAACTCTATCGCTTGAACTCGGTGAATTGTTGCCAGAGGTCATCGTCAACCATCTATCCCGCCGCTCCACTTTCCCAATCGCAGGTTCGCACCATTTCGGTGGGCCGGTGTCAGGTGCACGATTGGTGGGGTGTGTCAGTTTTGCAGATCTGGAGTTACCAAAATGATTTGCCAAAAATGATTTCTGGAGCCCATACTAAAAGCTCTTACAAGGCACTTTGTATAGTCTCATGGCGTTCTTACAAGCTGGCACATCCACACAACTTGAGTCCATCCCGCCTCCGGCTCCTCTCCCCCGCACTCCTCTCGGAAGCGCTCGGAGGCCACGAGCGCCGAGTTGGAATGCTCGTGCTCGCAGGCGAGCGCGTAGCCGGGCATCCGCTCGGCCAGCGCCTCGGTGAATTGCTTCACCTGGAGGAAGAGCTAGAGACCCGGGACCCGTGGAGGGCGGAGCTGCTTAGTCTTGAAAAAGGAGCCAGTTTCGGTCTTTCAACTAGCCATCTGAGTTTGGGGAAACGTCTGAGTCTGAGAAGCACGGCTGAGGCCTCCATATGTGTGGGCATGTTCATCATTCCAAGGCCATGGCTGTCGAAGAGTCCTGCCATCGTGACCCCCTTCACTTCAACAAAGTCCGGCTTGGCGCGCTGCAGCAGCTCAGCCCACTGCGCAGGTCCCGCCATGTTCTCACCCCTCAAAAGGGTCAAACGACAGACCGTGCGTTCAGGTCGGGTTGCCAGGATGTCCATCGATTGCAAGTATCTCTCCCAGAAATCCTTGAACAAAGGCTGCCCCACGGTTTTCAGCTGCTCTGGAGTTGCACCATCACAGGACAAATAGAGCTGAGTCACCTGATCCAAAGCAGAGATGGCCTCCGGAAACTGGCCGTTCGTCACCAGAAACGAGGAGATCCGACGACGGTGAAGGGCTGCAAGGAATTCATTGATGCGTGGGTATGCCACCGGCTCACCCACCAATGACAGCGCGCAATGTCGAACCTGTCGAGCTTCCTCCTTTCGGTGCTCTAACGCATTCGGTGACAAACATTGTTGTTCGATGGTCTGAAGATGCTTCTGCAAGGACTCTTCCAAGATTTCTTCCGGATCGTCTGTGTCAAACTTCCAATCGAGTGCCACGGGGTTGATGTGGTTGCGCCAGCAAAAGATGCACTTGTTTGCACAAGCCACATTGGGCGTGTGCTCCATACACTGGTGCGACGCGATCCCATAAAAGGTGTGCTTGTAGCAACCACCTGAGGGGGATTCCCACGCCTCCGAGGCAAATGAAAACAAATCGTAATTTAATGTTGCGTTACATATAGTCGTTATAGTTCTACTATGTCCAATTACCAGAAACAATGGATGATGATGGTGATGATGATGATGTCCCAAAAATCGTGATAGTCTTTTAACAACTTTTGCTGGTAATGGGACATCGTAATACAATAAGTCTTAAAAACGCCTCACTACAGTGTTTGATCTAAGGTCTTGACCTCTATCAACAAACCCTCTCATCCTTCTGTCAGAGCTTCAAGGTGGGAGTGGTGTCAGACTAAACTGGAAAAACCGCCAAATTTACTGTAACCATCCTGAATTGTCAAACACCATCTAGATACAGTATACTTGAAGATATACAGTATATACCAGGGCCTTCAAGGGGTGGTTAATGGACACTATAAATAGACACCCCTTGCAGGGTCCTGGTATATGTCTTTTCAAGAAGACGTTGCCCTGCACCCCACACCCTGCACACCCGAACCTTTGCCCTGCAGCATGGATTTGGTCCAACGGCAGAGCTTCGTAGCTGAATGGCTGCCAATGACCTGCCAGTTCCGTTCCTCCATCTTCCTCGGGTGACTGAAACGCAACTGCGTGGCAGGCAGGAGGAATGAATGGAAATGACTGCCAACCCCCTCCAACCCTTCCTCCAAACGACAAGAGCCCCATCGATATCGATACCGCCCTTTGTGAATCCACCCTGAAGCACTTTGCAAACGGACCTCCTCCTCTACCGGAACTCCCACAATTTGACCAAGTTCTTCACCGATTCTTCGCCTAATGAAAAATCAACGAAACGATGTAAGGCCTCTCCCCCACCTCGGGCTGTCCCTCTTCACCCTGTCTCTCCACTTCCCTACCGAGCGTCTTCTTTCGCTCCGTGCTGATCATCGCCGCAAAGGCACGTGACCCGCAGCGTCCGCCACGCAGCGCCACGGCCAGGGCCGCCACGGCCATGGCCCCGTACGGCCACGCGCGGTGCCGCGCACGCGCGCGGGCCCACATGGCCGGATGGGAAAGAGGTAGGTGGCTGAGGGTGAACATCTTTTGGATGATAGGGTCTTGATGCATCTGGGAAGAGGAACATGATCTTGAACCTAAAATGGCGGTTTGTGTGCACATGAGGAAGGTGGAAAGTGGGGATTGCTTGCAAGTCAAGCAGCCCAGTGTGTTCATGTGTGGGGAGCGATGCATAAACGCGCCTCGTGAAAATGGCACCCTTCGCAGATGGTCAAAACGTATTTAGATTTTGAGCCTGAAGCTCTTGGATGCAGCTCATCTGTTTTCAATCCAGCTTTCCTGGCCGCGTTTGAGAGCCACTGACTCACTGACCATGCGCAACATTTCACCCAAATGAGCCTGGCCTGGCTGATCTGCTTTGACCCAAAATGTGCTTCTCATCGGTGTTTCCTTTTTCCCAGGGGTGATCTAACCTGATCAGCCCCTCACCCGGCAACCCCTCACCGGCCAAAAAACCCGTCGCCGTCCAACGCGAACCCACGGTGCACCCACCTTCATCCAATCGTGCATCGCTCCGAGCACGCCGGCACAGGCGGCCTCCTGTGGACCGACGTGGGACCGAGGCGCAAACGGCTCGGACAGCTCCGGTCCTGTCACGGCTCGGACAGAATGGAGGGCTCCTTTTTCAGTCTATGTGAGTTGGTTGAGGTGCATGCAATTTGCTCAACACCCAAACTGAAGATACAAATGTTGAGGTGATTCCTTCCATGCTTGCGCCTGGGCCTCACCAAAAAAAATAAGAAGCCGGTTTTGTGGGGTCTCCTCCGCCTCATGCTGTGCAAACTCTTTGGTCAGCCACTCAAATCGCCTCAGCCACAAGCACTCGTTTTCTCCCCTCCACCAGGCCAACGAAGTCCACTCAGCAAGGCTCCAAGCCCCTCTTCCTCACCCTCTGGGGCAGCTGGCTGTGGCACTTGAAGCCCATTCCAAAAGAAAACGCCGTTGGCCTCTCTTTTTGAGCCTGCTAGGGCGTTGATCAAGGCGTTCTGCGGGTAACGAGGAGCCGGAGGGACTGGGAGGATCCAGCTTCGCTCCTCTCTCCCGGGACAGCTGCTTGGTGGGTCTCCAGCCGAAATTGCCTACCTTAAATGATGGATCGCCGACGAGGAAACGAACTGACTAAAGACTGCCGTTGGTCTCCTGAGACCAAAAAAAATGGTCCCAATATACCTGAGATGTCCCGCTGATGCCAGGCCTCTGACCCACAAGCATCAATTCCAAGCCCTCCCGCCGCCCGCGCGGCTTCCAAGTCCTCACGGCCCCGCCTTTCGTGCGCCGCTTCCGTCGCTGCGGCTCCGCCGGGATGAAGTCTTCCGAGCAGAGGTTGTAGGAGCGCCTCAAAAAGGGCCGGCGGCGTCCAGCGGCGGCAAACAGTCCGCCGAAACGAATCTTTTGGTTGGTCTATTAGAGGCGAGGGGCTTTTTCCGGTTCTGGACCTGTGCGCGCCCTGCAGGAGCGCACGGAAGGCCATAAGAGGCCATACGAGTCAACTTCAATTCTCAGGTTTCTCGTGTTTTGCATCTTCGAGTTACGGCTCCCCAAGACTCCTTCGCCAAGCAACTGCAAGGTTTGCAGGTCAATCACAGAGAAAAGGCCAAAGTCGAAGCAAAACCTGCTGGGGTTTGATCACCTGCAAAATCCTGGGCATACCTGGGGGGAAAAAAAGGCGATCCAGATCCAAACCCTGTCACATTCTGGGCACCTCTCAGGCTTGGGGAAGTAAAGGCGTTTCATGGAGCAGGTTCATCTGTCAGTCTCAATGACTCTTATAGGCTTGGTTGCGCTTTGTCTGCAGATCACGAAGGAACTTGACATAACTTGACCCATGGCCCATGGTCGCAACAGATCATGGTGAAAAAAGCCGCTCAAAGTGATCCAAAAACGGATCCTGCACAGAAGTGAGTCTGATTCTCGTCATTTGGGATTTGCAGGGCCAAATGCCAATCACGCCTTTTTCGGGCGCCTCGGATCTGGAAAAGCAGCGGTTGGGCTGGTCTCTAAGCTGGCTAGTACTTCAAAGCGCAATGAAACATGCATACACTGCATCCACCCAACCATTCCATCATTAAATCAACCTCCCAGGACAAAACCTGCCGAGGGAAATCACCTATCTCGTCTCTGTCGCCCAACCCGGTCTCTCATCGTGGGTGCCCTCCCTTAGCCGCGACTCCGGGCCTCAAGAAGGCTGAGATGGTCATGTGACCGCCGTAGCCCCGCGGCTCTTGAGGAAAGTCGCAGTAGGCCTCGAACAGCACCTGACCGGGCGAGCGAGGTCAACGCCCGAGAGGCGTTGAGACGCGAGACGATGCGAGACGCCTTGGTCGGTCAGCAGAGAGGCCATACTTATAAAAGCCATGTACGGTGGTGCAAACGACACGGGATGAGGATGGACGAGGATGGATGAGGGATGAGAACTGGTTAAAGGCTGCGTTGCGTACTGAATCTCATTCCAAGTGCCGAATGCTTAAAACTTAAGACTACATATATATATATATATATCAGTCAGGACAGCTCTGCATTGCATCTGACCCGGCCAGGCCTGAAAGAGGCTTGAAAAAGTGGCCTCGTGGGCCGAGCCACAACGTCTCGCTTCCCACCGAGTCACGAGCGAGATGAATCACGGGCCGAGTCACGTCTACGCCGGCCCTACGCCCCCTACGCAACCCCCAACGCTCGACCAGGTGACCGCCATTCCGTGCTCTTCAAAGACAGAAGAAAAAGAAGAAGAAGACGAGGAGGAGGAGGAGGAAGAGGAGGAAGAGGAAGAGGAGGAAGAAGAGAGAGAGAGAGAGAGAGAATGAGCTCCTGACCACAAAACACACCACCTCCGGCTCGAGCAGCTGGTTTTGCATGAATTCTGCCTGGCTTTGGCAGCTATGGAAGGTTTTGCGAGACACGCCACTGCTGCGTAGCGAATCTCTCGGTTCAAGCCTAGCATACAGCTTCTCCACTCATGTCGCCATAACCAAACTCCAGGCTCCAGACCCAACACCCCTTGAAAACTATTTCGCGGCCCGACTCCTCTGCAGCCAGTCGACCAGCCTTAACCATCTCTGGAGGGAGGGGGACTTCCTCCTCCTCCTCCTCCTCCAGCTCCATGCTAGGCTCTGGCTGAGGCCTGGCCGTGGTCAAAAACACCCGATCCGCAAGAGCGCAATGATTCCAGATGACCACCAACACACCAGTGATACCAATCTTCCGGTGACCCATCCTTGAGCTCCAGCCTCCACCTCCACCTGCAGCCCTCCTCCCCCCTGAAAACCGGGCTGGCGCCGCGGCTTCTCGGCGATCTTCACGGACAGCTCGCGCTTGGGCCGCGTGAGGTGTGGCCCCGAGCTGGCGAGCGATAGGAGGGGAGAGCCAACCAAACGACCCACCAGGTGCAGGCAGATTCTGAGAACGCCGCGACTATTCTTCGGAAAGCCGCAGCAGCAGCAGCAGCTGCAGCAGGTGCAGCTGCAGTAGGAGTAGTAGGAGTAGTAGGAGTAGTAGGAGTAGTAGGAGTAGTAGGAGTAGGACCTAGTAGGAGTAGGAGTAGGAGTAGGAGTAGCAGTAGCAGTAGCAGTAGCAGTGGTAGTAGTAGCAGCAGCAGCAGCACGTGAAGTTGCACAGCAGTAGTAGTAGTAGTCGTCGTAGTAGTAGTAGCAGCAGTATAGTAGTAGTCGTCGTCGTCGTGGTCGTGGTTGGGATGAAATCTCAATTTACAACTTCAAAATAGCAAAGACACCCTGTGGGTGCTCTGCCCAACTCTGTACCCTCTAGACCCAACTTATGGAAAGAAGCCTGGGGAACATATTCCTTTCCAACTGGACGTGTCTTGGTGTTTTACGCAGTCTTATCCTAGTCTTTCCGGGGAAGTCATCCAACGCCCCATTCTCGGGCGATTCCAAACCCTAAGCCAACACATCTGACGTCAAGTCTTCCCCGTGTCGTCATACTCTGACGCCTTGGCTTGGCCATTGGCAGCATCTTCGGTGACGAGACCTGAAACACGCGCCATTCGAGCTGCGACGGACGTATGGGCCGTATGGGCCAATCTAGGGTGGGCGAATCTGGCGATTCACTACATGCCATACACACTTCATAGTGGGAAGACATTGCATAGGCGCGAGTGTACATGCAGGTCAACTGCTCTCGCGTGGTCAACAGTTCCATCAACGGCTCTCACCCAACATCGCACATCCGCCTCGTTCAGTTCTGAGATGGCGTCCAGGTCTTTCGACAACTGGGCGCAGTGGTTTGGCACCAAGTCTTTGCTGTTTCCACGGCACCACTGTCTAAGACTCCCGTGCCCGTACCCGCGGTCCAACTCCACCGGCGGAAAAAGTAAATCCCTCTGCCCCCTTTTTGCCCCAGTCTGAGTCGGAACCCACCCGGCACTTCTTCCACCTGACTGGATCTCACTCCAGTCTCTGCATTCACCCCAGCAGAACCCTCCCCGGTCGGCGCGCTTTGGCTCCGCACCCGGGTGAAATGGGAGGTGCTCGAGCGGGTCGTCGCTGAGCCTCCCCGGTGGGTGCAACATTCCACGCCAAGCCGCAAAGGCCGCGAGGGCTTGGAGCTCGGCTCCCAGTCGATCAAACGGGTTCAGTTTAAGTCCCGAAATATTATATAAAGATTCGGTCACAGGCCCTTCTTTTCCATCTCTCTGCAAGTGCGGGATCACGAACAAATGGCCATCAGGCCACTTCCAACTCCACCCGCGTTTCAAGAGCTGGGTGGGTGGGTGCCCTTGAGAGGAAGGTCCGGAAAACGCTCATCTTTACTGAGACAAAGATTCGGTCACAGGCTCTTCTTTTCCATCTCTCTGCAAGTGCGGGATCACGAACAAATGGCCATCAGGCCACTTCCAACTCCACCCATCACTTCCCACAACTTCAGCCACAAGGGCTAGCCTCTTGAAAAAAGCGGGTACCAGGCAGTGCCTGGAATCTTTGCTTGTCGCAGCATTTCAGCCTTTTGCAGTATTTAGCCAATCCAAAAACAGGTTCACGTTGCAACTGCGACAACTGCAAAATGTACTGTAAGACCCTATCTCTTGTATGTATATTTCCAAGACCTTGGCGTTTGTCCATCGTCCCCGTCTCCTGACAAGATCTGGGCTCTCTGTATTTTGCAACTACCACGTCGCCCCGCCGGGTCTAAGCGACCCGACATCAAGCGATTTGCAACCACTCTGACCAGATGTGGGCAAATTCACTGCACCAAGGAGGTCTTTGAACCGCAGTCTGAAAGTGTGGGACGAAAAGGGGCCAAAGTCTTTGGAACGGAGCTTTATCGTTAAAAGCAAGCTCGCACACACGGACAAGGTCTCCAAAATCCAATTTTGCAGTTTGATGCCGGGCTGCAGTAAAACTTGTTTTTGGTTCCTGCAAGCTAAGCAAACAGAAGGAATTTGACTTCATCGTATCAGAGGGCAAAAGGAGGTGTTTCCGCAAGGCTCCAGTCATCTCAGAAGTTTGAAGAAGGGCACCCCATCCAAGTGACAAAATGCCTGCAACCTCATACCACCCCCAGCCAAGTGCAACTGTCAACATTGCCGCCAAAATTTGCCACGGCATTGCTATGTGGTGTTGGGGACTTTCTTTACGTACGCAAGCAAAAGCAACATCCCATGATGGCTGCAGTTGGCGTCGTAGCACTGGTTTGAAGGACACCAAGCTGTTTATCGACTCAACGAAAACTCCGTGGGGCCGTCCAGCTTCATAGAGTCTTCTACCATAAAACTGTAAACTTCGTTGATTGATTCGAGGTCCCGGGTTGGCTACTCCAGTCATGCTTGCATATCAAAACCTGCTCTAGTGCACCAGCTGAAAACGCCTTCCACACCTTCTCACGATTCTCAGAGGTTGCAGCGGTAACAGGTCTTCCTTGCGGCACTGGCGGTCGAGCCAGTCTAGCAGCTCTTCTATGCCAATCCCCCTGAGTCTTGGGTCCAAGCATTCCATGGCATCGGGTGAAACACGCGCCCCCTAAAACTAAGGCTGCCAACTGCCAGGAGCAAAGAGGAGAAAGGAAAAGCAAAGAGGCAAAGAGAAATGGAGCCAGAAGGGGAGGGCCTTCGCCTGGAAAACCAGGCGTCTGATCGAACTCTAGCGGATGAACAAGATTGGTTGCAAAGGGTGAGCCAACATGAGACGAAATCCAAGGAAGTCCATGGCGACGCTGCCCAGACTGAGCAAAATGAAGTCCATGAAATCCAAAAAGTCCACTGCACCCCTGACCCAAATTTGACGCCCATCTCCTCAACTTGACAACTGTATCAAGGGCCTCAATGTCTTCCTCCATCAAGGAAACGACTGGGATGCAATCAAGGTTCTCAAACTGGCCGATCTCTGGTAGGATCGTCTGACGTATTCAGCCGAGTGGGGACAAACGGCAGGCTGAAATACAGGCCTCCGGCAATGCACAAAACACCATAGCGGCACAAAAACGGGGTCAGTGCTCTGCTAGAAGATCTCCCCTTTGAAGCAGCACGGCGAATGACGTTGGAGTCACCAAAGTTCACAATACGGCATGCCTGTCCCTTTCTCACAAGCCTTTCAGCAAGCCGCACGACACTCTTAAGCTCAAGTATATTGATGTGCCTCCTGGTCTGGTACTGCCATGCCTCAACTTCACGCCAGGGAGCTTGCAAGGCCACTGCATTCATGAGCTGATTCTCTAGCCCTCTCACATTACCCTCCTCAATGTCTTTCAAGGCAGCTTGTCGAGCTCGGATAGAAGCAGCAAAACATGAAGCAATCGCCTTTGCTAGCTGAAAAGTATATGATGCTGATGACTTCGTGTACTTGCCTTCGACCACAATGTGATGATGACTGCGATCGCACTTCTTTTCAATGTCAACTGTCTCAAGCCACGCCGACAAGAAACGGAAGCTCTTCAGGTGGGGGGAGCCAAAAGCACATGAGTCTGTGCGAGTGGTTTTGATGCCGTCTTTCATCTCAAGTGCTCTCCACTGTTGCAAAAACCTCATCATGGGCGTCCAAGGCTGTTCGCAGAGTCCCGGGACGAAGCACCTATGGGCGACACTCAAGAGGAACAGGGCCCTCAAGGCGAGAATGCTCCCTGTTCTTGTCCTCTCGCACTGCACATCGAACCTAACGGGGTAGTGGCAGATCTCAATGGAGGCCGAGGAATCCGTGAGAATGTAGTGCAAACAGGCTCAACCATTATGCTCCCCAGATTTCCAGATGTCAACAAATAGCTCAACCATGACACAACACGAGTCTGCACCAGATCAAGCTCATCGCTGAAAGCAATGTCTATTGGAGGACCAACTGTAAACCCCAAGTCCGACATCGCCTGGGACACCCTTGCATAACCAGCATATACCTCAATGAAGTCATACCGGAAAGCTAGTGGTCTTGAGACAGCTGAGAAATCGCTCCCTCCTGCCACCTCACCATCCTCCTGATTTGTCATCTCTTCGTGCAGGCCCAGTCGCTCCATCAAAACTTCAAAAGGAGTCTTGAGTCGAGTATAGGCTCCCTTTGTAGGACCCGACCTCCATAGCCGCTGCACAATGTTTTGTGGCAATGCTGTTGACGTAATTACCCCACTGTGATCCGAAGCATCTATGGAGAAAACCTCATCAGCGAAAGGAGCACCGAGGTCAGACATCATGAGTGGAGCCAACACGCTTAGCAGTACCATCTCATTTGCAACCGTCCTGGGAAGAGAAACAAGGCGGGGCTTGTCAGAATCCACATGCCGGGAATCCACAAGGCTATGTGCCTTTGACAGAAGGCTCATAGGAGGTCTCCGGTACATCAGCATCGAGGTCCAGCCCCCCAAAAGACATAAATGCAACGCATCTGGTGTATGAGAAAGCTGTACGCTCTGCAATGTCAACCAGGATAGAGACAACCGCTTAGCAACTGGTGAACCCAAAGTAGCAATGCGATTTCGTGCTGCCTCATCACCTGCATTCAACCCCACACCAATAACCTTGCTCCTCCGAAGCCCTACCACATCTTTTGCCGCGGAGCCAAGTATTTTGTGGTGTGAGTAGATCTTCTGGCTCTCTGAAAACATGTAAAGGCTGCGCTCTTGTCAACAGATGCTAGGCGAGGCTCCCGGGAAATTGCAAAATAGTCATCAATGACCAAACCCTGGCACAGAGAGCTTCCTTCATGAAGCTGATCTCCAACAATGTCATGAAGCTGCTTCTTGCTCTTCGCCCCTACCCTTCTCTCAAGAAAAGCATCATAGCAACGCAATCCATGTATTGAGGACAAAGGCACGGAAGGGCCAACTGCGGTGCTCTTCACTTTGGACTCCGACACCCAGAATTGATGATAAAAATCTTTTCTGTCTGTGCAGCAAATGCGAAAAGTCTCAAACCCAACATCCAGGTGGAGATCCAGCAAGTCTGATCCTGCTGCTCATCCTTCAGGCTGTTGAAAACTTTTGTAAGGCTGCACGCCGGAACATCTGGTCCAGTAAAAAGCACATTCCATTGGCATCCCATACGCGAGCAAGGGCCACAATCACATCAGCTTGGTCTCTGACAACTGGGTACCCCCCAGGCTGTGGAGAATAGCCTGTGAGGAGGAGGTGAGGCACACGGTATGCCATACACAAATCATCATCGAGATGGTCAGTTGCATCCAAATGGCCACGACCAGTGATCTTGAGCCTCTGAGCATTCAGATCACGGTAAGGTTGCAACTGAGAAACCACAAGGTTGTCAGCGGAGACTTCAACTCCAAGAAACATCCTTCCATACGGCCCAGACGCTCCAAGGTAGGTGATCTGATCCGAGAGCTCACCCAAACGTGCAACTAATTAGAAACTTTCGGCCACTGACCAGAATCTCAAGGACCCAGAAGCAGGGCCGTCGGCCGCCAAAATGCCCTTCAACCTTTTGTAGATCAGCACATGAGCCTTTGAAGGGCACCTCGTCAACAGGCTCTCGTTGGGAAAAGCTCCCAAACCTCCATGCCATAGTTCAAGGCCATCACCAGAATGTGAACAGCCCTCAACATATGAAGTCGCCTTCGAGCACGAAGAGATAACCCAGACGGCACTGTCAAAAATGCCACACCAAGGCACTGGGACAGGGAAAGGCGGCGAGGCCGAGGCAGAGTCGCCTCGTTGCAGATGTAGAGTGGACAACAAAAATGCGGCAAAAGGAGTTCTCGACCGTAGCACCATTTTTAGCAGGCCAGAACACCAAAGCCAAAAAGAAAGAGCCCGAGGAATTTGTGCAGAAGAGTGTAGCTTGAAGTTACCCTCCTCTGTGTCAAGGACCTCCTTGGGGACATTCTCATAGCCAATTTTTGACTTAACATGAATTCTATCAGGAACCGGTGGAAAACTCGCTCTGGAGCCAGCCTTGCACCTCATGCAGTCCTTCTTCTTTGTCACTGGGCACCTTCCGCGCCCGCCTTGGGGCGCTTTGGATAGCGGGGCTTCCTCTTTGAAGATCCGGATTGAGGGGTCTCGGAAATTTGCTCCTTTTGTTGCTGCTGTCCTGTTCGCTTCGAAAGGTCGGGCTTCTTGTTTGCCAACACTTCCAAGTCCTTGATGTAACTCAAGGTCGTGGCTGTCCAGGCAGGGGGTATCAACGGGCTGAACGGCCTGCTGGTTGTCGAGACCTGGACCGAGCGTTCCTGAAACAGCTGTATAGGAGGGTCTTCGTGCAAACTCACGAGGTATGCCACAGCCCAATCCCCATTGTCGTAATTGGCCTGTTCGACCGACATAGCAAGCAAAGCACCAATCTCCTTCATACCAGCAAAATCTTCTTGGGCTGCAGCATCGATCGCATGAGCCAGGATCCACTGTATGAGCCCCAAAGTCTTCTGGTTTTTGTACCCTCCGGATTTCTCCAAATACTCCACCATTGAAACACTGCCCAGCTCCTGTTCTGTTCGAGGAAGAGCTCGACCTGGATGGAGTTTCTTGTGCACCTGTTGCATCATCAGGAGGAAGAAGTTGCCGCTGCGAGCTGCCAGTTCTGCCTGCAGCTTCTCGCGTCTCTGAACTCCCTTCATGCTTGAGGAGCTCATAAAGCCGGATTGTAAATCTAGCATCGGATCTCCTCCTTGCTGGGTCATGTGAGCAACCAAAGCTGTCAGGGCAGTGCTCTGTTGAGAGAGGGCGTTGATGATAGCCTCTGGATCTTGAGCGGCATTGCCTGAGCTTCCAACCAGCAGCGCATCTGGCTCCTCCGGACTCTGATGTTTGACATGCTTTGACAAGGGTGATGTGGTCTGTCCCATTCTTGTCCTGGGCGGAGGTCCCACCACTTGTAAAGCCTTTGCTACCGAAAGAGATGGGCCCTCCACGAAATCGAGCCCTGCGGACAAGTCCGGAAGCTTGTTGATATTTCCACCACCTCGCCCTCCAACAGCTTCTGCAGGCTTTGAACTCCCAGCAGCTGCAGAGTTGCTCTGCGACCCCTCCAGCAAATCTTGGCGTGCCGACAAAACCTGAATTTGTGTAGTGAGTGCACTGAGCTGCTCCATGAGGACGGCGTTTGTGACCCGCTTCGGGGCCGCAGTGGACTTCCTCTGACCAGCCTTTGCCTTGACAGCCACCTCCGGGTCCTCTAGAGCCGAATAAAAGGCTGCCATCTGATCTGTCCTCTCCTGAAGCCATTCTTTGACACGCTTCAAGAGAACATCAATTTGAGGAATGCACGAGGTATTGTCAGGGTGGTACGGGACGATTTCAATGTCTGAATCTGTCACTGGGTCGAAGATTCTGGCAAAGTTCAGGAACTCATCACTGACGTCAATGACCAACACCGGGCCACTAATACCAAGAGGAACCATAGCACCATCATCGCCTTCCTCAATCAGCGGAACGTCAAAAAGTGAGCCCATGCCAAGCCAGGAAGGTGCAAGCTGCAAACCAGACCCCTCAGCCATAAAAGATTCGTCCAACACCCCATATGGGATACATGCAAGAAAACAGTCTCCACGAGCAATGAGAGGCAGCACAAAAAGCTCTGTCACTGACTCCACCACTGGAGGCGTAAGGGTGGCCACCATCAAGGAAAAGTCCACCCTGTCTCCAGCACACTTCAATTCTGACTTTTGCATTGGTATAGGGGAGGGACCCCTACACCGTAGCTGGCGCAGCACACTTGAACCTCCGTAATCGATGCGAAGCCCTGGTAGACTGCTGGATCACTGTGAGGGGCTTGAGAAGCGAGCAAAAGCCTCAAATCTGTAATCTTGCGAACCCTCACTGGAGCTGAAACCCGGGAGTGACGAAAAATCAGCCACTGGGTGTCTGAGACCGAGGTGGCCTCTGCCTGCTTGTATTCAGAGTGGGTAGCCACAGCCGCCCAGCACCAAAAACCAGCCCGCCAAGCACGTGTGATTCTCTCTTTGGGATCACCTGCAACGTTGGAGAGTCGAGGAGCTGCTGAAGTGAAGAGGTGCTCAGGCACCGGTTGGGGCCCGTCCTCAAACACTCTCAGGCGGTCGATCTCAACAATATACGGCTGATCGGCTCCAGGCTCCACAAATTCCCAGCCAGCAATGGTGATGACCGGGCTGCTGGATGAAGGAGAAGAAGAAACCAAAGATGCTCCACGTTCCAAGGCAATGCTCAAGCGATTCACAGCAGAAATCAACAAGTGGATGTCCTCCTTTGTGACACTAGAACTCATCCACTAGTCAACGTAGGCTGCCAGCCTGGCTTGACGATCCACCTCCACCGGCCTCTTTTGGACCACCTCCAGCCGAGTGAAATCAAACGGGGTGTGCCGTCCCCTGTGAAGGAGAGGAACCAAGTAGATGAAAGCAGCAAGGAGAAGGAAAAGAGCCAATATGAGGCCCAAGGAAAGGCCGGCAACGAACCACGGCAAGCAGGATCCACTGCAGTGGAACGGACAGGAGGCACGCGTGGACAAGTCGAAGACAGCAGTGGCAGCCTCTACCCACCAACTAAGTCCTGAAAACATGCCCTTGAGAGGAAGGTCCGGAAAACGCTCATCTTTACTGAGACATATATATATATACATGGGGTGTTTTCAGTTTGAGAATGGAAATGGCATCGCTAGTACGAGCAAGGACGCTACTAGCAGTCCCTGGCATTACTACTAGGAGCCAACAAACAAAAAGCAATCCAAACCATAGATGAACACTTTTCCGGAAGACTCTCCGAGGAATCAGCTCGGGAAGTCTATCCCATTACGAGGGTTAAATGATGATGGTTGGGTGGCTGGCCTTGTTCAAAAAAATGGTGATATGCTTGTTGACTGACTGTTGCAGGTAGGACAGACGCAGGGTATATGAATAAGATATATGTGTATATATATATATAGATATCTCTATGCTCTCGTTGCCCCATGGCAATTCCGTTCTTTCCAAAGCGCCTGCTGACACACCCCGCAAGTGGCTCACCGCTTTTGCATCCACCTCGCCTGGCGTAAAAGGGGTGCCGCATGCATCAACCCCAGGCAAGGCACGAAATGATATGGCTGTGGGTCCCAACCCGGAGCCCCAAACGTAGTCCATTCTGGTCATTTTCTGTGGGAAAACCCAGGGTCCCCCAGACTCTCCGCCAATATTTCCTCTTTGGTTCCACCACGTTCCACTGTAAGAGAGTGGTCAGGTTCTCTACATGGAGGCTGGTGCCTTCGGCGAGTCGGCCCTGGATTCTTCGTTCTCCGTAACTTGTTGTCCTGCTGATGTCATCTATTCGCAGTCATCCTCAATAGGGCACAGGGCATAGGGCATAGGACAGGGTCCCGTTCACTGGCATCCTCAATTTAAGAAATACTGGACATGTCAAAGGCACCGGAAAAGGATCATTGTGGGATTTTCAGGTCACATCTTTGCCTTCTCGGGCAGCTGCACACAACGCGGATGTGTATGGATCGTCTACCATGGTGTACAAGGTCCGCCTGAGGTGCGTTCCTCCTGCTGAATGCTTGAGGAACTGATGCCTCAGTTTGGAGGCGCTGAGGCGATACATGAGATACATAATGGGCATGCAACGAAAAATCAGTGGCTATAAATCGCCCCATCTTGAATCGGCAAACCCCACACGACGAGGTGAGTGAAAGATCCCTTCTCACATGCCAGCTCGAGGCGCCAGGACTGGCTCGAGGCACCAGGGCTGAGATCAGCACTTCTGCTTTGTCTACTTTGCTTCAATTGGACCGCCTGGTGCCGTCTTGGTCGGTCAAGACTGAAATCAACCATGCTGTAGGTCGGATTGCAAAGGATTGCAAAGTGCATAGGGCCTTAGGAGAATGGCACTTCAACCGTTGGCCCACGACAACTGCAGATACCGCTTATCTTGCAATGGCTCGCTGCACAGTAGCAAACAATAGCAGACATAGATCCAAGCAGCTTACACTTTCCATGTCCCTGGGCAGCGAAACATGTTGCGTGTTTGTCGGCCAAACCACTGGCAACAGGCCCCAGGCCCCTCGCAGCTTGCAATCAAAGGATCGATGTCTTATGGTTTTGCAGATTCCACTCCTACCCCGTGGCAGGGAACAAAATGAACTTGTGCTTGTCAGTGTGTCATTGCATGTGTCAATTGGCCCGGCCTTCTTTTGGAGAAGTTGAAGACGCTCATCTCCATAGGCCTGGGAGAAGCGAAGGCACCCCTTGCATTTGTTCATAGTCCTTTCTACTCTTCCATTTCATCTCAATACGATAGTATCTATCATCTATCATCTATATAGTCCTATCCTACCAGTCAATCAATAGCCTATCAGTGTCCACTACATGTAGCACACCATCATGGGCGAAAAACATGTCCATTCCTGCATGTCCATTTCTTGGATCTCCAGACCTCGCCACTCTCCAGTCACCAACCGCCCCTACCCTCTCCGACCTGAAACCGCAAACCACAAAAAGCCCACGGTTCACGGCGGCGGTGAGCCGGGCTGCGCCTGGGCGGCTGGGAGCATCTTGAAGAAGAAGTACTTCTTGGCTCGCGGCAAGGCCTCGGCCATCTCCTGCAGAGGAGGGGCTGGTTCCTGGAACCTCCCCGGTCTCGGCTGCGGATCTGCCAGGGCGAGGCTCGGTCTCTTTTCCAAGGAGGCCGAGCCTATGCTGCCTCGGGTTCATGCCCAGAGGGCCTATAGGGTTTATGGTGGTATGCTCGTGGTATACACACAAAGCGTAGGAATGGCAACTTCTTAGTCAAAACACATAATGCATTGAAACGGCTCTATCATCCATGACGGCACTGGCTGATGCTTTTTGATGCTTCTTGGTTCTGGCATGAAAGGGTTGGTTCTGCGAAGCACTTGAGGCACAGGAACCCTGGGCCCACATGTTCCAAAATGAGCCCGAGCGCCCCATTTGGATAGACACCTCCCAAACCACTCGAGGCGACCCCGGACCAAAAAATGCTGGGACTTCCCCCATCAACATGATCAAACATTCAATTGGCAACCTCTAAAAGTATACCAGCCCGCGAATTCAGCCTCAAACGCGCCACAGCCTGGGACGTCCCAGCGCTCCTGGCCCTCCCAAAAGGGGTTCGTCGCCAAGTCTTCCAGCAGCCGCCCAAAGAGCCTCCGCAGGTCTTCCGCCCAGAGCTGAGACAGAGCCAGATGCGAGCAGGATGTGCGTGGTGAGGTATTGAAATTCTTGGGGCTACGGAGGGCGCGCCGCTTTAGCAACTCGTCTTCAGCCAAGCCACCTGGTCAGGCGCGGCGTGAGCCGGTCCTGGGCACATGAAGCCAGCGGATGCATCCGGCCTTTCGTCCGATACACTTGGTCGAGCATGGGTCCATGGGTGATGCAATTGCCGCAAGGAAACAATCTAAACTCTCTAAACTCGAACTGAAACATGGAAGTCGATAATGAACTTGCCGCAGTGGTGAGCACGAGCCAAGCCATGGAAAATGCTCCGCGACAAATCTTGCTAGAACAGGTCCCGTTTTTCTTTTAGCCCCTTAAGAGGGAGGGGAAGCCGCTAGAGTAGCTTGTAGCTCTATTAGGTACTGGACGCTTCCAGTAAGTGGGCGAAGGATAGCTCACACTTCTTCAAGGAACCCGTTGCGCTATAGGAAAACTTGTCTGCACCACCCTTCGTTGGGAGAACCCTGAGGCCATGGCATTCACCAAGGCGTCCAGTGCCGACTGATTGTCCTGGCAGATGGTCCACCAGTCCACAGCTGGATCTCAGGAGTGGCCGGAGCCTAAGTCTCGAACCTTATGAAGGCCTTGTGCAAGAAAGAGGTCCCTGATAGATCCTGCTAGAACGGAAAAAATAGGCCCCGGAGAGCGCCTCGGGGACCGTGGCACTTGGCCCTCTTGATGATCTCAAGACATGGGGTTGGGGGATCAAGAAGTTGTTTCTGCTCGAAACATTGGGCAAGCAAGGGCCTGGAGTTTGAGTGGTGCCCACAATGTTGTTGATGGAACTTATGTTCTTTGGAACCGCCACACTTCAAAAAGTACCAATACCAAAGGTGTCGCAGTGTCCTATGGTCTTGGAGCTTTCCCATCATCACCCCAACTGATAGATGTTCCTGTCCACCGAGACACAAAGACAGACTGTAGCAGTAAATGGACCCCGTAAGCTTTGATTTCCGGGTCATCCCCCACGTGGCAAATGCACCGGTTTCACTGTGCCACACATAACACATACGACCAGCAGATAGAAACCACTATGGACATGAGCTCCACCTCTCCGAACCCGCCACTCTCCCGGCCTTTTCGGGCACAGCTGGCAGCCTCACGAAAGCCACCGAGCCAGTGACCCCCAGCAAGCAGCATCCATCCCAGCGAATCACCCGGCATCGGTCCGGCATCGGTCACCGCCCTCTTCTCCGGACACCGCGCGCGCGCGCGCCGGCCCGCGCGCCCGCCCCCAAACGGACGCTGCGACGCGCGTGGATCACCCAACAGCAAACACCAGCACCGCGCAGCGGTCCGTGGTCATCCCCACCTCACGGCCATCACCAGTCGTCCATAGGGGGCGATGCCCGGCACCTCGCAACTCTGGGCCTCGTGAAACCCGCAAGACCGTCCCAGACCGGAGACCGAGACCGCGTTCGTTCGGCCGGAGACCGCGGAGGGCGTGGGGAGCTCGAGTCCGCACGGCTCGCATGACTCACATGCGTGATCCAGGTGTCGTTTGGGTTTTTGGGGGAGGTCTTATCTTCCAGAAACAGTTCCACTGGAATTGGTTCTAGGATTTTCGAGGTCTAAAACTGGGAAACGTTGCGGAAAGGTTCCGGACCGATTCCTCCTAGCAGTCCTCGCATGGCTCCTAGCAGCCAGCGGTTTCACCTCCATACGTCTCGGGCGCTCGCTCTCACGCACAGGTCTCGCCTCTGCGTCGAAGCACTCCAACGCGCGATGGTAGCGTGGCCTCGTCGGATGGTCTGAAGGGTTCGACCATCGTCGTTCGGTCCTCACGACACGGTCCAGCCGCTGTTCAGTCCAAGTCCACTCCGACGTCTTGTTGCTCGGCATGACACGTGCAGGTCTCTCCCCCAAGCGCCTTTGACGTGTCGGTGTCCCCTTCCCTTCCCTTCCCTCATTAGGCCCTTTGTGGGTCGCCCCGTTGCCTTTCTTTCCGGCCCAGTGGCTCCATGCATTTCTCCATCGATGTGAGGCCCATGGACAGGATCAATTGACAGAACGACTGCCTGGCCGCGAAGACCGCACCACACACCAATGCTCAGAAGAGCCAGGAGGTGAAGAGCATGTGTGCCAAGAGTGGTGGCAAGAATGGAGAATGGATTTGAACCTCGCCCACTTTGGAACTCTTGGACAAGTCCCTCACAAAGGATCCAGTCTAGTAATGTCCAAAAAATGAGAGGTTTTTGAGGGTCCATTTCCGTGGGCCTTGGGAACATGTTCAGCTTGTCGGGATGAATTGTTCCACTGGGTAATGAAAGCACCACGCCTGGTCAAGAGGGCTGCGCTTTGGCTCTCTTCGTCAGCCTGTGAGCCAGGGTGGAGGGAACCTCTGCAGTGCATGTCAGAGAATGTGGATCCTCTACGAGTATCTAAGCATGTGGGTGAGCGAAGATTTCCCGCTCATTGGTGCATGGTGTAGTGGTGTAGAGATCCGCCATCTGTGCCAATATGTAGATGCACATATATACATATATACATATATGGCGACGTTGGGTAAGGTGGGGTGATGCATGGTGTATTGAATTCAGGCCCGCTAAATAGATCTAGAGACTAACTCTGGATTCGTTTCACCGAACATGCTTCCAGGCTTTGCTTTGAACACGAGCCGTAGGGCCCGTAGGGCCTCAAGCACATACAGGCCTGACATGTATCACAAAGACCTGAACACACACTGGGAGATGTGCTTCGAAAACGTCCCAAGTGTCTGGACTTCTGTGAATGGCAGTGACACCTCGTTTCCCGTATGACGCACGCCCAGGGGGACCCATCGAAAAATCGCCCGTTCCGGTCGCTTCGCGGCCTCCAAGTATGGTGGCTCCACCATGCGTGCGAAGCAGTTGCACACCCTCACCAGTTCCTCGAGCTCCTCGCAGGTCAGCTTCACACTGGCCTGCCGTCATGCAGTTGTGCCACGACGCAGCCAGCGGTGGCGTCGCCGGGTGGAATGCCAGACACGATCGTGGCGCAAAGACAGTGACCGATCGGCCCACCGATCGAGCGACTGCACCGAGTAGTCGCACCGTCGCACCGTCGCACCGCTTGAAGACCATGAAAAACGACGGGATGAAACGACGGGATAAAACGACGCGTTCTTTCTCGCCTGCACCTTTTCGCGCTCTCGAGGGTCAGGATCGCGGACCTCTTTGTGCAAGGCAGTCACGGCGGTCCGCGGTCACGGTCAGACCCGGTTCTCACAAGAAGCTGGGTCCAAACCATCCATCATTCCAACATCCATGCTGGGAGACAGGAACCTGAACCCTGGGGAGCTGGGTCTGCCTGACACTTCCGAGCGTCACTTTCACTGTCTTCGGAGACCCCTTACAATCAGTGGCGGGTGTGGTAAATCCTCAAGCACCTCCCCCGTCCAATTGCAGGATGAACCCTCATCCTCAGCCAATCCTCAGGTGTGTGCCTGAATGCTGGTCATGAGGCACACACGCCCAGCCGAGATCGTTGTCTTCCAGGGTCCAACCGGTCGCAGTGGTCGGCGAGAGCTGGCTGAGCCCCACGCCAAGCCCTTCTGATCAATCAGCACCTCTGGCAACAGCTGCCGCGGCGCGGGCAGCGGTAGGAAAATTGCACTCCACCAGCGGTCATCCTGGCAGGGCAGAGGAGCCTAAAAGCCATCATCTGGTTTGGGAGAAACACGCCCGCACAAGTGGCAGGCATCGGAACTTCGATTCCCTCAAGGGCTAGCAAAGGGCATGGTCTTCTTTTTTGGATCCGATTCCTTTTAGAGCTCCTCACTTAGAGTGTCAAGTGTATTCTTCTTCTTCTTCTTCTCCTTCTTCCTCCTCTTCTTCCCGCGAATTTCATGACAATTCCCTCCTCATAAGAATAGAACATAATAGAACTACTAAAGGGCAAGTAGTGCCAGCAAGAAATAGCATGTGGCGGACGGGAAGGCGTTTGTCAACTTCTTCTAACTTTCACTTAACATCTCGAGTCCAACAACAATATGAGGCTGTCAGTGTGTAAGCAAATTGGGCAGCTTCTCTACCTAGTGCTGAAGGAGTTGTGTTGAGAGGGCCATCTCAACTGCAACACTGCGCATGCGAGAAGACTCTTCTCTCGTCCAAACGTTCACAAGAAACCCGTGAGAAAGTGAGGCACTTCACCCAAAGGAGCTGTTCCAACGAATTTTGCGCAGATCATCGAAACCTTTTGGGGGGGTTGATCTGTCAGGGTCTACTGAAGACTTTTTCAAGGTTTGACCTCATCAGTCGCCCCGACCACCTCAGTGTGAGTCTTCTCCGGCGTGGCCCCTTCCACGACCTCACAACCACATGGAAACACGTGCACCCTGTGTCGACCTCTGTGTGCCCACCGACTGCGGTCCACCGGAGCGGTCAAAGATTTCGACCCTTCCTCGAGCCGCAACTTACTAGCATTCCTTTCCAGCTACACCATGCTACACCTCTCTGTGACGCTTTTCCGTACCATGGTTCTACAACAAACGATCACAAAAGGCAATGCCCTGGCCTTTGCGAGCTGCTCCGCGACATAAAGCTCATCGTTGGCTAAGGTGCCTGGGGAAGGCTGTACACCTTCCTCTTGAAAATTGCCAGTGCACTTGCTAAAAAGCACTTGTTGAAATTGACAGCTGCAACTGGGGGATCGCCTCTAATATGCCTCTCCCATCCGAGCGTCAGATCAATTTTGCTGCCACACGGAATGCGCCCGAAGCGCGGCTCTTGGTCGGCCTTGGATAGAAAAGCGGCGCTTGCTCTCGATCTTCGCTCCTGGCACATTCGGAAAACGATCCTGCCTGCGGCGGGTTTGTATGGGTCCTGGGAGGGACCTTCCAGCAGCACCCAGTTCGGGTGGTGTGTAAATTTGGGAAGGAGTTGGGGTCTTTTCTCTTCGCCAGGAGGTCGTTGAGGGTCCCCTTTTCCATTTTTTTTTCGAAAGCTGTACCTCGGACTGTGCTGCAAGGCGCCAGTGGGCGCCGCCAAGATTGTCGGCTTGAAATTCTATTTTCAGCTGCTGCGTATATATATATACAGTATACACACACGTTGATCTTGGAATTTAAGTTCCGTGCTTCAGGGTTTTGAATATCTTCATATACATCTTTCTCAGTTCTGGCGTGGTTTCCCAACTTGTGTGGCTCTGTAATTAGCACGACGCGCAGAGTTGGGTTCAAGCGAAGCCTGCCTCGTTGGGTCGTAATTGTTGCTTCTATATGTATAAGTGGCTTGGACCTCCGCAAAAGAGTGGAGTATACGTTTCCTTAAAGATTGGTGCCACTTCTGACTTCGTCAGCCAGCGACTCCGAGACGTGTTTCTGCCTTCTGGAATCCATTCAGCAAGGACTACAGTTTTGGAAAATGCCAATCACAGGTCGATGACATCCCACTTTGAAGCCAAACTTCACTGTGATACTGCGGGGCGCATGGCATGCATTGCCCTGCAACGGCGAAGAGCTGTTCCAAAAAACCTAGTGTTGAGTGTAAATTACTAAAGCTCCTCATTTTGAGATGTAAAACCAGGGGGAGCTCTAAAGCAACAGTCTACATTTGGGGGCTTTGGTGTCTGCCTCCATTGAAGAACGAATGCCATCTTCCCTGGCCTGCGGGTGATAGCGATGACTGTGGCTGTGACACCTGTGCGGTTCTTCACGCCGTTGCCCATCCTTGAGTTGCCCCAAGCCCCGATCGAAATGATAGCCAAACGGGCCGAATGCTTCCATATCATGAGGCAATTCGCTCCACCATAACCACATCCGGGCAATTTGCCAATTTGCGGCAATAGTGCAGGAACTTCAAGATCATGTGCACCACGAGTAGCATGTCAACATACATCATCATAAGTATGTGCATGGGAACTTCCACCACACCGCATGAATGACGTCAACCCCAAGCTCTTTCGCTGTCTCGATCCCGCCTGAGGTGGCCTGCCAGAGCGGGGCCCGTCACCGTCAAGGCAGGGTTCTCGCCCAGGACGGAAGCCGCTGGTGATTCATTGGTTGCTTGGGAGTCTATCCTATCTATATCATATCTATCCCAGAGAAACCAACATCCAAAAGATTGCCAACTCGGGGATTTTTTGGAACATGTCCAACCCGGGCCTACCCCGGCCTACCGCCTTCGTCCTCTCGCCAGCTGTATGTCACAGGAGTCCATGTCCGAAAACACCGCTGGGCACCCCCACAGGCTGGGTGGTATAGGGCGAGCTGGCTTTGGGGCACCTCAACCATCAGGCTGAACTCATCAACAACCACACGCAGTTGAAAAAATGTCTCTTCTACGGCTGTATGGACATGGCCTTTGGGGAATAAAGTTAAAAATGCCTTCTGCCTTCTTTACACATCCTAGACCGGTCGTTCTGATGTCATAGTTGCAAGGAATTAGGCTAGTTTTTTGGGTGACGTGAAAAACAAGAGCCAAACGCCGGGGGTGTGGCGAGTGCAGTGGGAGGGTGGGAACTACATGCACTGAGGATCGTGTGGGTGACGAAACACGCTGTCCTAGGGTGACGTGCGTCCTGGATGTGCCGCCTTGACCTTGTAACAATGGACTTCGACATGGCAGCTTTCACCAGCAAAACTCAAACAATTCGTGGGGGGCCCGTATCATCCAATCATTGATTTGGTGTGTATGTATGTGTGAATGAATGTATACATAGAAATTGCATGTGTATATATATATGTGTGTATGTATATATATATGTATATATGTGCGTGCATGCATGCACGCATGTATGTATGTGTTTTGCTTTACTGATATATAATGACCCCTATGTTAGATAGCGCCCTGGGGGGACCCCCTCAATTAATAGATTCACTCAAGGAGCATATGCCTGGCTTTTAGAAATTAATAGGGGCATCTTTAACCATCAACTAATTGTCTATAAATTTTGCTTAGGAACCCCCCTAACTCCTCGACCCCTCAACCCCTCACAAGCCCCTCAATATATGTCCACTCCCAGGTGGCAAACCCCCCTTCCACAGCCATGCCAAAGTAATACGTGAGCAGTGCTCAAAAACCAGGCAAGAAATTGGCCACCGCATGCACACAGGAAAGCAGCCACCACTCTCAGGGGGCGTTGGCCTCTGGAGGAGGGGTCGATTAGTTTAGTTTGATAGCTTGATCCAAGGTACATTTGTTTATCCGACTTGGGTGTTGGCCAAACTTGTCGACAAGTTGTCAGATTAGAAAACAGTTGAAAAAGAACCTATTCGTGGGCAACCCTCCTCCAATTAATTTCTTAGGGGAAGGGTGATCTAATATATGTGTGGTTGGTGCAGCACTGCTAGGCTATTTTGCTCTACCACTTCCACCGGTAGCATCGGGAACCGCCACTGGAGCTGTCGTGCACGACGAGCTCGGATGGTGGGCGGGTATGGACAGAGGACCATCTGCGCACACAGAATCTGGATCATCTGCGCACACAGAGCGGGAGCGGGGGGTGGGGATGGGGGGGATGGGGGGGATGGGGTTGAGATCGTTCTGCATCCAACCAACTCCAAAAAGGGACTTCATGGGGTGGGGATGTCGGGGGTGGGGATGGGGTGGGGACCTGTTCTGCATCCAAACAAACTAGCTAAACCCTGAACCAGTCTCTTCCTAGATGATCGTTTCATCCTGATCTAGAACAACAGCGAGAATTCGCGTGTACCAACGATCCAGGACACCGCTAACCATCTGAAAGATAGTGACAAGTGCCGGTAAATCATGCTCCTCTCTTCCTGCTTCGCCGACAAGTGTTCCACACCGTGCACGAAGTCACCGGCATGAGTTCGTCACCTCAAGCCCTGCACAACGAATCGGAACCACCGTAAACCATGTGTAGACCCCCACGGTGGCCCTGGACGGGGGCGGAACGAGAAAAGGCCTCCCTCCTCACCATGCGGGTTCAACGGCATCTCCGCGGCGCGGCGCCAAACAGGTCACCGCTCTTCGAGCGCGGGCGAGTGGACGGGCCGGGCCGATCAAGATCTACTGTAGCGCTTTCTTCGGGTACGGGCGGCGGCGATGTTCGGGTTGTTGCTTCGTACCGGGTCTGGGTCGGATGGTGCGATTTCGGTTCGGGGCGGCCGGGTCTGCCACCGTCGGGTTTCTTCGGCCAACGACGGAGACGCAGAGCGAAAGCATCTCAAGGCTCCCGACTTGCCACGATCGATCTCCTCGCGGCCGAAACCGACGGTGTGGATCCTTCGAAGTGGTTGGTTCACCCCCTTCCGGTTCAGTGAACCACACCAAAAAGGAACGCGCAGTTCATCCAATTGAAGCTCTTCTGACAACCTAAAGGCCTAGAAACGGCTTCCAATACATTTTTACTGGGGATCTGCTTTTCTCTCAATGTGGAGATCCATGTGGTCCTACTCGGCCTTTCTATTGGGCCTAGGCACCGCATCTTGCAGAGTTCGAAGGGTTGAAGCGGCTTCCAACCGCCCACGACTGACCCCTGCTGCATGTGCTCTCCTTCTTCCCACCGCCTGAGACACATTGACAGTGGTGTCGTCTCGTGTAGGTCAATAAATGTCGATAGCCAGGCACAGAATGAGTTCAGCACTTCAGGTCCATTCTGTTTGTGTGTGTGTGTCAAAACCCACTCCAAGTTGACCCCCTGCTATCTTCAATGCATCAAGCAACTCCCCATAATCCCATCCGACCGACTTCACCCCTTGGGAAGCTCAGAATTTGCGACCTTCCCCGCCTAGTCGCGTCCCGACCGACATTTCTTAAAGAATGCTACTGTCAACTGTAAAAATATGTATATATGAAATATTACATCTAAAAATGCGCCGTCCGCCACTGGCGCCCTTGCCTCTCGACCGAGACCCAAAACTTTGTGGGCCACGGGAGGCTTCAAGATTGGAAGCTCTGCCTGGTGCGTCGAGACCGGTCTCGAGCGATGGATTGGACCGGAAATCGAAGCTCCGCCGTTCCCCGATCGGAGAGAGACGTCCAACATTCCGACGTGCGATGACTCGGGTCCGGTGGTGAAGACCTTTCGCAGCTGATCTCGGCTGATCTGATGCAGCTTGCATCCCTACACGGCGGCGAAAAGCGGGTGCCTCCTTGCCGCGGAGGAGATTGTCAGCATCCTTGGCCCGGAGTAGCTGTGAGATCCGGGAGTGCGTTGACCCTGCTGTGAAGGTTGGCATCTCCCCGTCCAAGACTGCCAAAACGGCCGCTTTTCGGGCCACACCCGTACACTGTAGGGCCTCCCCCACTGGGGCCTCCAGACTCGCCACAGATTGGCCTTAGAGAGTGGGAAGGTCACCCAGGGAGCTCTGATAGCTCTGACGGCCCCAGAAGTCCAGGTCCAGGCGCTGGCTATTTTGTGACTCTTCTCTCGCCCCCACCGAAAGAACCCCCTCTGGCCTGGGGTTGTGACATCCCGTCTGCGAAGCAAGGGTTGTTGGTGTGATCACCGTCAACCCTCCGAGGCCCCTGGCCATGGAAGCAGAGGAGGGCACCGACCTGGCAGTTGGTATTGGCGGTATTGGTATTTGAGCAATATTTGGGAGTTTTGAACAATGGGGGCACAGGCACAAATTTCTTGATTCGTTTCAGGTCAATTGAAGTTGGGGTCAGTGATGCAAGACCTGCATGCTGGGCTGTAGGTCGATGAAGAGAAACGCCGAAACCGTTGGCACAGAGGTCCCATAGGCAATTTATGTTACCCACACCTACAAAGTTCCCAATTCAAAACATTACATCTGCCCACAAGGGACCACACCTTGTTGCAGCCTCCATTTTCGGCAGGGCTGGCAGCGAGGTGGTCACCTGCAAGGCCTGCAATGGAACATGGGGGCTGCAAGTGGTAGACAGTTGTAGGACCCAGTCACCGTCTTCAGGTTTGAGACACGTCACACATGGTTCATTTCGGCATACCATGGTTACCACATGCGGCACCTTGCTCTTTGCCCCATGCTGCTGCTACAAAGGATCAAAGGCTTCCAAACTCCCTGCTCGGACCCGGGCCGGAAGGCGAGCAAGGGACCGCACGTCCTGGCGAACGATGGGGAGTAACAAGAAGCTACGAACGTAACAAGGTGCATCGCAACTACTAACCAGGACACTACGTTCGTAGCTCCTGGCAATACTACTAGCAAGAAGCTACTAGTAGCAATGCCAGGAGCTACATTGTGTTTGATGCTGTCGGGAGTTTTTAGTCCAACGATCTGGCTGCAATTGAACGCACATGGATGATTTGCCCGTGATTCCCTTCAGCACCTCACATCTCTCACCAATTGGCCGCCAACGTGCCACAGATCTGTCCTCAGTATTCAAGAGATCTGTCACGAACTGCAGCCGCGCCAGAATGACATAGACTACACCTCACACTCCCAACAGGCCCTTGTTCGAACACCTGTCTCTCCTCCAGTTGTTAGAGAAGCTCCCTGCGCCATGTCATCCAAATCGGCTCAGTTGCGGCTGGTGAGGGAACCGAATTGTGCCAAAAAAGATTCTACTTACTGTAATCACTTCTTAAAGACTTCGTTCGAAAGCTGCACAAATGGCCTCGTCCACCAACCTCCGAAATCTTCAATCCCCACCACCCCAGTAAAGAACCTGAGGCCGGCTCCAGCTTCTGTCGGGACCTAAACGGCCCCACCGTCGGCAGATATGGCCGGAGCTCCGGGCGTTGCATGGCACGCGGTGGTGCCATCGTCCGCGCGCCGTCCGCGCCGTCCTCGTCTCATCGGCAGCTTTGGCCGTCCCATGACTGGAGCCATCGACGGGTATTGATATCCTCCGACTGCCTTGAGGT